AGAGGAAAAAAAAAAAAAAAAAAGAAAAAGAAAAAAGAAAAAAAGAAAAGATAACAACGTTGTTAACGATGACTATATATTACCGATTCATCGTCCTCACGAATCATTCAGATTATATAAATGTTTTGCGGACGATGACTTGTCGCACAGTTGTGTTAATTATTGCACAATGTGTTAATATTGTACACAGATTCGAATCGAGAACGATGTGTTTCCTCTTCATCTGTATAGTTTCTACGGTTAACTTTTTTCCCCGTGGTTTCAACTCGTTGGAATCGTTTTTTCACTTCGGTTCGCCTGCCATTTAATTTCGTTCAAAAGGCGAACAAATAGAGGGAAGAGCGTTCTAGCAATATCGTCACTTTAACGAAGAGATATAGACACAATGATGAAAGGGGAAACAGGTGTCGTATAAATAAAGAGCCAATTAACGCGGGAATTAATTAATAGTAACGAGGATTCCGCGTCAAAGGACGAACGAAGTCGTTCGTTTACGTACTTCTTTCGATTCACGAGTTTATTGTCAATTGTTTATTTTCCCTTTTATCTTCATCGAGCGCTGCTGAACAATTATTTTTCTGATGATTCATTTCATCCTTGCATTTTACATGCGACGCAATTATTCGTTTAAGGTTAGGTTTATTGGACGCGTCAGACGTTACTCCTCTCTCTCTCTCTCTCTCTCTCTCTCTCTCTCTCTCTCTCTCTCTCTCTCTCTTTTGTGGTTGTCACTGTTCTGCGTTGAGATGTGTTTGTTCTTTGTTGGCTGTTTTGTTGCCATGGTGTTTCACCGGCGGACGAATGTTTCCAATGTTTTACACTCGAAACATGCAAGATTCCTCTTTTATATTCTTTCTCAAAAGAAATTTAAACAATCGTTATTAAATATTCTATTTTCTTCCTTACTTTTTTCTCCACTTTGACCTTCGTTTTAAGATCTTTCTAAACGAAAATATTATCCGACAAATATGAACATTCGTCCAGTTGCATTTTCTTGTAAGAGCCATTGATTTTCCGAAACGATTTGAAACAATCAGCCTTCTCAATCTCAATAAAGTTCTTTTTTTTTTTTTTTTTTTTTTTTTTTACTTTCCTCCTTTACATCTTTGCAAACCTAATTTCTTTCGCATCGAGGAGTAATATCTCCCACTTTCCTACATTCACGATTTCGTTATACTCGGAATAAACGGAAAAATCATCATCTCAATTCTCGCGCATCTATGAAATAATCTTCTACTGATAATAATAATAATAATAATAATATTATAATAATAATAATAATAATTATAATAATGATAATGATAATAGGTGTATACGAAACCGCTTCTACCTCAATGAAACAAAGATACACGTACAATATTATATACACTTTAAAACATGTACATTGTACACGCATATATACATTCAATATACACATGTACTACACGCATAGACGATCACGTTAATAATTACAATAACGTTTCGTACAATTGTGTGTCGCTTATGGTTCCTTCTCAGTTTTTCTTTCTCGTAAAGTATTATCTATCTATCTGTCCGCGTAAAAACGTTTTGTGCGTTTCTACATTTTTTTTTTGTTTGTTTGTTTCTTTATACCACGTACAATAAAAACAGAAAGCAAAGAACGAAAAAAAAAAAAAAAAGAAAAGAAACCGCAACAAACTCGAAATACAATTGCATATTGCATAAAAGTATCTAATAATTATATTGTATGATATATAAAGAGAGATAACGATGATGATGATGATGATGATGATGATGATGATGATGATGATGATGAACTTATTGCTGCCGAAAGCTGCCGCGAATAAATATATCGGATAATAATATTGTCCTTCGTTTTTTCCTCCTTTCCCCTTTTTTCTCCCCTCTCCACTCCCCTCACTCTTCCCTCAATTTCGAAACCGTCTTCACGTTCATCCCACTTTTTTTATCCTATCCTCCACCATCAGACGACCGAGTATATGTAAATAACATCCGTTTATATTTATTTATTTATGTTTCTATGCGCTGGACGCGTCTATGTTACACGCAATCGCAAATTAATCGATTAACTATTCCTATTGATAGAACGAAAGAGTACACTCATTTTTTCAATATAAATATAAAATGGATATATATATATATAGAATATATATATATACATATAAATATATAAATAGATAGAGTATATTATATGTAATATTAAGGAGGTACTTGTTTAGGTCGTAAGCGAGCCCCGAACTCGTCGTCCCGCAATGCGACATCGCAAGTCGAAGACAGGATGAGAGGGAAAAAAAAGAAAAGAAAAGAAAAAAAAAAAAAGAAAAGAAAAGAAGAAAAAAGAAAAAAAAATAAATATAAATAAATGAACGAATACATATTATATAGAACACACAACAGGAGAACAGAATACACATGTGTACACGTATACAAGAAGAAAAGAAAAATATGCGAGAAACGCCGATTGGAGGATTAAAGAGAATAATAATAATAATAATAATAATAATAATAATTAATAATAATAATAATTATAATTATAATAATAATAATAATTATAATAATTAATAATAATAATAATAATAATAATAATAATAATAATAATAATAATAATAACGCGCGCGGTGCACGCCACACGATTCGAGAGTTTTCTCCTCGGGTTCTAGATCATGGAAAAAATAAAATTAAAATTTTCGAAAATGTCGATTTGGGATTGGGGGGAACGAAGATGTCGAGGAGGCGTACTGTGGGCATTTTTAAGAACTAACTAAAGGGAGCATAATAAAACTCGGAGGGGAAAATTTCGGAAAGGATTATGTTATGGATATTCGATCGATCGATCATTGATTTTTCTTTTTTTTTTTTTTTCTTCATTCATTATTTAACACATTGATATGTATATATATTTTTTCAGTTTCTCTTTTAACGTTGAAACGATCGATCATTTCCTTTGAAAAATAGAAAATAGAAGGCAGAGATAGTTGTTTTATTTATATATATATATATATATACATATATATTTTTTTTAAGATTTTATGATTTTATAGAATGGAAAGGAACGTAATAGAAGTGTACTTTTCTCGTACGAGTTATTATGCACTGCATACGATCAATGTGAAAATTCCCGTCGTCTCGGCATCGATCGATATAGAAAACGAACGTTCTTGTTATATTTTACTTTTTTTTTTTTTTTTTTTTTTTTTTTTAGAAAAGAAAAGGAGAAAAATCGTGGCTTGCACCGCATAGCGTCACAGTGGTTACCAATTTTGTTTTTAAGTTGAAAAGATTAAGTTTTGCGTTACGATTATGATATAAATCTGTGGGTAAGGAACGCCAAGAAAGCGTGAACAGGAATGCGAAAAGTAAAAACGGAGATGGCAAAATGGCCGTATCTCCAGCATGAAAGATGCGCGCAAGCCGTTATGTTATGTTTTTCGTGTATGCAAAGTGACAAATTTGCATTATATTACAGAATTATTTTATTTATAACGGGGGAACAGTCCGCCTGTGTGCATGTGTGAAAACGCGTGGATGTGTTTCAACCGTGGTGAAAATTCGATTCTATAGCATAATTCAATAAAAAAGATTTTCGAATTGAATCCTTGCGAAACAACGTTTGAAACGCATTTTTCATTCGCGTTAATCAACGTGTTGATTAGGAACGATTCGGATGTTAGAGAGAGATGCCAGAGTGAGAGAGGAAAAAAAGATTGTTTGTGCGAATGTGCGAGCGAGTGTGGAAGAGAAGAAAGGGAAGAAAGAGGGATGAATGAGAGCAGGCGCGGAAGTGGAATAGAAATGAAAAAAAAAAAAAGTCGAAACTCTGCCATCTCCGACGATCCCGGACAGGAACTGGGTGGAATGATGACGATGATGACGATGATGATGATGATTCGTTACGTGTTACGATAAATTTCTCGGGGAGAAGCGTAGAGGGGAAATAAAAAAATGAAATGAAATAACGATTAAACGCGAAGTAATGGCGTTAAGATATGATTTTTTTTTTTCTTTTTTCTCCGAGCGCGAACAGGGTGGCAGGGGTTCGTGCTACGCCGAGTTGAGTGTAACTCACCCTCTTTTTTGTTTGTATAAAAATTAATCGAAATTTAATTAGACTATTAATAACTGTTCGATTACTGTAAAACAAGAAAACTTTACCATTAATTATAAATTACAAAAAATCTAATCATGCGTCTTTTTGCTCCCCTTTTATCCTTTTTTGTAAAATAATAAAAATTAAATTTTATTACAACTAATAATCTACACAAACTTTTAATATCTTAAATTTTAAATCTCTAAAATATTTACAAAATTTACAAAATTTAAATTAATTTTTTTATAACTTAAAATTTACATTTTATAATCTAAAATATTTATATTATCAATATAACTAATCAAAACTAATTTTATTTTTTAATTTATAATAATCTTAAAATTTTAAAATATTCAACTAAAATAACTAAAATTAACTTTTAACCTAAATATATAATATATAAATTTTAAAATTTATCAATAATCTTAAACTTCAAATTTTTAAATTTTTATATTATTCATACAAAATAATCAAAATTAAATTTTATTAATATAATTTTTTTTTATATAAATATTTATATATATAATTATATAAATAAAATATTTTAAAATATTCGTGTTAAAATATTCGTTTTGGAGGATCGATTCTAGAGATCAAGATAAACAGAAAAGTTTAAAAGTGCGAATTTATATAAGCAATTTTTGTATTTTGTATAATCTACCCTTCAAAAATATTCAATTCTGAACGAATATAAATAACTACTCTGAATTATTACAATTAACATATATTCATAGATATGTAAATATATTATATATTTATGATTATTTTTATTACCTTTTGATTTATATCTTTTGAAGTACGTACATGAATTGAACATTAAAATATTGAAAATATACATTATATATCAAGTATAAATAATTGTTTAAATTATTGTAAATTCAATTGTAATTAACTTAATATTTTTATATTTTTGTCTGTTTATTTCAATTATACAACATATATACATATATATATTTTTAATTGAATATGCGACCAAGAATCAAATCGCTTGCTCGCTCCGCCATTGCAATTAAAACGGAATTCGGATTACCGGAAATGGGAGTTGGTAATATACTAGAATCTATTATTCTAAGTCTGTTGACGCCTTTCACTCTGAAACGAAAAGATCGATAATAAATTAAACTTATTTTTAACAAAATTATGTTTCTTAAATTATGTTTCATTCGTATAATATAATATTACTCGTAAATTAATTCACAGATTAATAATTTTTCGTTTAAGAAAAAGAAAGATTTGATCGAATATATAATAATAATAATATTTTATAATAAAAAATTTGAATTGAAAATTTCAAAGAATGTCAAAATTCTTTCACCGTAATTTCTCGTCGACGACCGAACGATCGTCAGCACCCATCCTGCAAGAGCCGCATAAATGATAACTCGTGAGACCACTGATTCTCAATACGCATTCCGTATACTCGAGGTCTCTATAATCTTGTCGCAAGTGTCGACATTCCTCCAAGTTAGGATGATGAATTTTTGCCCCATACTCGCGAAATTTCGGTGTCTCGAGCGTTTGGATGGCGAAATTTACAGCTGTAAAATTTCCTTTCGTCGTGTAAAGTGCGAGAAGCATTCGTAACGTGATCGTAATTTAAAAATTTTATCGCGATTTTGCGATATACAAAGAAATTTACATACCTCGATGGGTGCACAATACATCGTCGTAGTGTTGAAGGTAAGCAGGATCGATTTTTGGTTGATGACGAATATTGGCAGATCTTAGCGATATGCTTCCACGACTTTTTGGTTGTAAGCAGTAGGATAGAAATATGAATCCTTCGTAAGAGCTGTCGTTATAGGATGGATACAGCAATCTGTAAGGCTATAGAATATAAAATGCAGTTCTAAAAAAAAGATAAAATTTTTTAACATTATCTCTTTAATATTATCTTAATGATATCCTTAACGATTGAATAATTCAATTGTTTAATTTATAAGTATTTATTTATAATCATATTATTCTTTTACAAGAAGAAAGTTTATAACGAAATTATTAATTATTAAAATGGATTTGAGAAAACAAAGAAATTAAGAATTATTATTGCAACATGCTCACCTCTGTTTTTTGATTAGATATACTTTTCCATATATTTTCATCAGTAGAACCTATTCCAAGAAGCATGATACCGCTATCATTGGTACGACCCACCGCCATTATGGCGTTTGTTGCATACCATCCTTAAAAAGCAATTAAAAGAAAAATAAAAAATGATATATTATAAAATGTAAATGTTGTTAACATAATTTGCTACATACCTTTTCCAAAAGTAAAATAATTGAGCACCTCGGGAAGCGTTTGTAATTTAAAGAACGTTATGCTCACGTTTGCTTTGAGATTAACGTAAACCGGAAGCAGAATATGGTCGAAAAGATTTTTACCCACTTCCAGAAGATTACTCACCATAGGTATCTAAAAATATTTCTATTCTCATATTGCATAAATCATCTTTCTGATATTTTATGGGATTAAAAAACGATTATAGTTGCTATATATTATCAATAATTTATGATTATTGATATTTTTAAATTTTATTTAAAGAAAAGATTGAATATAATATAATACATTACCTGAAATTTGTCAAGTTGTTCGGCTGGTCCGATTCCAGAAAGCAAAAGCAATTGAGGAGTATTGATAACACCTGCACAAAGAATCACTTCTTTCCTCGTGAAAATCTTTCCCACTGATCCATTTTTATAAATTACCTTGATCCCATCTGCGTTCGAATTCTCTTTGAAAAGGATCTGAAAATTGACAAAAAGTTTATTAGAACATATATAAGTCGATATTCTTTACAATTAAAGCTCGTTTGAGAGATATTAAATACCTTTAACAAGTAGTTAATGATTAATGGTAATTAATTAATGTAATGACTGATTATTTACAAGCATAAAAATTTTAAATAAACTCCAGACGTTCCCTGAATTGAATTTATATCCATATCATAAAAGTATAATAAAAAAATAATACAATATTATGTATTATAATATATAAATTATTAATATATATGAAATATAGTAATAACTTGCTAGTAAAATTTTGAAAATTATGAATAGTTCTAATTTTTTAACTCCTATTAAAGCATATTAATGCTTGACAATCCATTCTTACAGAATATTATAAATACTTATATTGCAACATCATATAAATTAAATATTCCATATTTGACATTATTTGTGTCGCAATAATTAAATTATTTAAGTATAATTTTTCGACAAATGTGAAATATGTTTTTCAAAAAAAAAAGAAAAAAGATACACAATAAAAAAAATAAAATCTCACTTTCGAAACCAACGTGTTCGTCAAAATATGCAAGTTCTTTCTATTCCAGGCATTTTGTAAATGCGCGTGAAATGTGCTCCACCGTGAACCTCTTTTAACAGTGTACAGACCCTTTTGTAGAGTCACATTATTCAACTTCAACGATTCTTCCGCCATGAGAAAAGCTTCCGCCAGATATTCTTCCTCCGGGCTGGACATTACGTTCATGATATCGGACACCTTTTTAAAATACGGAAGTAGATCGGCATGTGACCATCCCTTCGGCCAGGCTTTGTAATCTTCCGGCTTTCCGAAAGAGTGAACCAAATAATTTATCTGCCCGGTACCGCCTAATCCTTTACCTCTTGGAACTTTTTGAATCTATAATAAAAACGAATTCGTTAAATCAAATTTATAATTTTTTCCATTTTGATTGATAAAATTTTAAATTTCAGATCGTCATTTTTCCAAAAATGATGGTATCTTTATATTGATGATTATATTGAAATCTTACGTGTCATATAAAGGATTTAAATTATTATAATTCTAGAATGTTTATTTACATGATTCCAAAATCCTTTTGAAGAATATATTTGGGGTTCCGTCGAATAGGACCAATCGACATCGGTCTTTTGCAGAACTGGCGCCAAAATTGGAATGGATGACACCCATCCAAAATGTCCTCCCGCTTCGACCAATAAAATCGTCAGATTTGAAATTTCGGAAAGCCGTGATGCTATTACACATCCTGCTGTTCCAGCACCAACTTTACAAGTGAAATGATTTAAATGTTAATATGGTATGTTGTTGAATATGAGAATGAAAAAGTATCTATTCTTATATTTAATCAAATTAATCCATTTTATCAAGATAAATTGTTCAATTTGTAAAAAGTTTAGCACTAGTCATGTAATATTTTAATGAAAATGGAACTAAAATTGAAAAATTTAATTTTTAAATGTTTCTCTTATTATTTGACATTATATTCTAACATGTTTCAAACATTATTCATTATTTATTTTGCTATATTTTAATATCTTTACTGGGAAAATTTCTATTTAGTATTTAAGACATAAAAAATCTATAATAATTAATATAACGTTTAGAAAATTAATTTCAACATTAAAGATAAATGCAAAAAGTAAAATTTTAATATAATATATAAATGCAATATTTCTTATAAGTTGCATCAAATCTAATTTATTACATTATGTTCAATTATTTAAATCAGTCATTTATCGATTCAACAAGGATAAGGATTAAAGGATTAAACAATAGATATTAATTTTTTGTTATTTAAAACTACACTCATGCGGTATCGCAGTCACCGACATTGTCGAACGAAAAGGAGTTCCACGACTTACCGATTATGTAATCGTAATGCGTATTAGGGTGCTCTATAATGCTAGCCGGACTGTTAAAATAACAATGATATAGTAACGATACAAATAACACAAGGGTCGAAATCAGTACGTAGTTCCACATCGTTATGAAGCTATTCACGGTCCGTCTGCAATCGGTGTCGGTGACAGAACTGTGATGAACTAACAACGATCAGGGTATAGAGTAATTCCAATATTAAATTAGCATTTCCGTTCGCAATCGATAGTCGTACAGTAACAAAAGTGGACTGTCATAAAAATGTGATGATACAAATCATAGTTGAGATAATTAATTACATGTGGAAAAAGTGCTTGAGTATGTGCATTAATATTTAAAATTAATTTTAATATTATATACAAATATTTGTATTTAATTAATAAAATATATCTTAAATATAATAAATAAAATATATCTAGGAAAATAATATGTATGTAAGTAGGCAAGATTTTTTGAAATAATATATAAATAATATGTAATTTATATAAAATTAAACATTTTAATTATATATATTTTTATTCATTTATTTTTATTATTTATATCTTATATAATTTCTTGATCTAATTTCAGCTATATGAAAGAAAGTAATTTTAAATATTTAAATTTGTAGAGTATATCTTTGTCAAAATTATTTCGTATATTATCACCTAGCAATGGAACAAAAAAATATAATGTTAAAAAAATATATTTTTTTTATTATACATTAAACTTATAATATTATATCTTGAATAATATAAAAAAATATTTTGTTATGTTTTTCATTAATAATATATTAATAACAAAGTTTAGTTTACAAAAATATATTGATTATTATATCATTGTAATAAATTCTTAAATGTACAAAATTTAAAAATAAAAAAATCTAAAAGTTACTATTGATCATTATATTTTAAATATTATTTTTCATATTAATGATAAAAATTATTTATTTTCATGAAACTTCACAATAATAAATTTTAAGAATTAAAAATATTAAATTACTTATAAAATTAGTAAAATATTAATATATTATAATATTTTAATATATTATATTATTATTTAATTATTTAATGTATTATATTATATTATAATATATCAATATATTATATTTATAAAATATTAATATATAAAATGTAATATTTGAATATTTCATTTCACTTTTGAAATATTCATTTGACATTTATTAATATAACCATCATTGTTATCGATATATCCACAACAATCGATTTTGCCTGTTGAGCTACTGGTTACAGAATAGGAAAAGTCACAAATCATTATTCTGTATCGACTATATGGCTTAGATGTATCAAAGTTACACGCGTTCAGTTTTGTCTATAATTTAAAATTGTATACGAATTTATATATATGTTTTTCCATCCTTAAATAAAAAAAATTTATTTGCAAATGTCATTATATTCTATTATTATTATGGACAGATGGAAAATTGTTGCTTTGCTGCTTTGTTAGAGTGTTATCTATGAATGGTAAGTCATAAATTTTTTAATACATTTTTTGATAATTAGTTTATTTTTTAAATGTATATATATTTACAAAATAAATATATGAAGATATAAAATTTGAATTAAATTTTAAGAATATAAAAAATAAATTTTAAGCATTTATTTATATAATATTAATTTTATTAATTCAGTTTTAAAATTGTGATAATATAAATTATTTTAAATTGTTAAAAATTGTTAAAATTATAATTCTATTTATATAAAATATATTTAAAAAATTTTAAAATATAATACAAACATAATATAAAAATCTTTTTTCATGGTATTAATAAGAAATATATATCAATCATTGAATCTTTAAGTTGAATGAATTATAAAATACATAAATTAATAACAGAAATTAAAAAATTTGACCATTTGACCATTGTATTTGAAAAACCAGTTTTGATATAATTGGCAGAGATTTATCCTCTTCAAACTTCACGATGATTGCCATGACCTTCTGTCATTTAAATCCGCAAGAAAGGGATCATTTCTTAACAAACTTATCTGATAATAGGTTGAAACTATAATACTTTAATTAAATTCTAATAACACAAAGAATAAATAATTCTTAAATATTTATTTTAATATTTATTCTTTAATATTTATTCTAATTTATTATTGAATATTGTATTATTATTGTAAATATATTATGTAATATTTATTCATTCTGATTTTTTAATTAATTTATTTATTACTTTTTCATCTTTAAATTCACAAAATTCGAATTTATTATCCAGATGAATTTGAGAATAATAATTATGATGGTAAAAGTGATGAAAACTCACTGAGCACAATTTATTCATTATACTCAACGTGATACCTTCCGAAAGAATCCTATATACTTGCTTGTCAATTTGATCAGTAATATAACATATACTTTATAAATTAAATATAAAAATAGACAATTGTACAATTATTTTTATTGCTCATTTATTTTATAGTTCAAATTTTTGGGGCTTTAGAACCCATTACCATTTTGATGTCACTCGCATCGTTATCAAGAATACATTGTGGCAGAGTCTGGACTCATTTTGGCGGGAATTATAAATAAGCGTATCGAATCAAATGAACGACATGTTTTGAAATAATAAAAGTTTGTAAAATAATCAATTGTAATAAAGAGACTATTTGATATAATAATAATAATGATATAATAATAATGAATAATAATAAGAAAAATCTCATATGAAATTTCTTCTGAAATTTTAAAAATTGCAATTGTTAAGCATCCATTCACGATTTTTAACTAATTTTATGATTTTCTATTAAAAAAATATAATTTGAAAAGAGATGGCATAACTTTCAATAATTTTTAAAAGTAAAAATTCACATAATTTGTAACTTTGTATCAGAAGTATAATTTAAAAGAAAATATCATGCAAAATCTTTTTGAACTTCTAATTAAACTTTCTATTGAAATTCTATATTTATCGCTTAGATATTTATCTTTTGTTACAGTCATTTTTTATTTTACTACTTTAACATTTTTTTGTAATATTCTTAGATTTAGAAATGCATATATTATGCAGATTTAGAATATGCATATATACTTACCATTTATATGCTTATAGTTCTTATTTTTTGGAATATTTTGAAGTACTAAATTTTTTTTTGTAAAGATACTTAATTATAGTACTTAATTAATAAAAAGATTCAGAAATATATAAAAGATATATATATCTTCTCTATTTAATTAAATCTTGTTTTTTTTTAAGTAATATTAAATCAAATGGTTTGCATAAATGACACATTCTGGTATTATTAACTTTTTCAATAATATATAAAAAATTTGAATTTTTTGAGAAAATGAATTTTGTTTTTTTACATAAAATTGTAGAATTATTTTATTAATCGATGCAATAAAGACATTCTCTATAAAAAAAATATTTGTTAAACAATATAAATAATAAACTATGTAATTATTAATTTAGAAGTAATGACATAAATGATTGGGTGAATAATATCTTTTATCTATTTATTCTTAAACATGTGTAATATTTTCGAATTTAAAACAAATTCAAAGAAAAATAAATTCCAAGAAAAACAAATAGATATTTTATTATAACTATTTTATTATATTAATGTTACACAATTAAAACTGTTTATCTCACTATCATATGTATATGTATATTCTATGTATATCCTATGTATATTGTCTAAATATACATATATGTATGAACACCCTGCGAATGTATTTCTATTTTTTAACTCTTCAAATACATGATTAATATTATGTATTCATTGGTCCCGATTTTTACTCTGCTACAATTCTCTCCATTTTTTTCTTTTCTGTCTATTTTTTTTTTTTTTAATATGTCCCCATAAATGAAAATCGAGATTTAATATTTTATTATAACTTAAACTATACTACAACATTATTTTATGAGCATTGATTCTTGATTATTTCATGTATTACAAAAAAAAATATAAGTATATTCTGAAATAGTGGAATGTTGATATAATGTAATTTATAGTGTATTTGTGTATTTGTTTATTCATGTATTTATTTATAGCATGTACATTTTAATATCTGTTTATAGCAATCATATCCATTGCTCTAATTCAATAATAATAACACTTTATAAGATCAAGCTTTTTGAAACCATTATAATTTTAAGATTATAAGAATATCTTAATTTAATATATTTTAAAAATTTGTATCCATCGCCAATCATAATATCAGATATAATATTCACATAATTTGTTCAAATTCTTAACAATTTTTTTTAACATTGATTGATCCCTCAATCTTGTTTCTTACCACTCGAAAGATTACACCAAGAATCCAGTACAAGATTTGCTAAATAGAAAAAAATATGTTGAACAAAAATATCATTGTATTAATAAAAGTGTCATTGTTCATATATATATATATTAACATTTTACATAACATTTATGTATAATGAATTCTAAATTCTTCCACTGAATTGTCTTAAATTCTATCTTACAATACAATATCTGAAGTCATCCAATAAATACAGTAAAGAAAAAAAGAGGCCTATGCATTCGGCATTGAACAACACCTCTTAAACACCTTGAATAACAAACTTTATTTACATTTTCTTAGATGTATCTCATTTTACTAAACCATGATATATATATATATATTATATATAGTTATATATATATAATATTTAAATATTAGCGAAACACACTCGTGGAATCCAATATTGCGAATACTCTTCATTCTCTCCTATTATTTGTAATTCGCATACATACTAATTCTGATCTTCGTCACGTGACCACGTTCAATCCTTGAACCCTCGTTCATTTTTTCTTTTCGATGATATTTATATATTTCTATATTCATTTTTACATGATCAAAAATCAATTGAATCAATATTTATTAACCCACAATGTTTACTTACGCAAAAACGTTGAATAAAGAAAGTTGTTCGACTTGATAGAATTCAAGTTGAGCATTAGCCACGTTGACGATACACACACACATATATATATATGCTTGGGCAAATAATATAAAAATAATTCTGAGGTACACTCTTCTCTTCTCAGTAGTCGGAATTTTCTAACTAATTGGCAGATCACGTTTATCGCGATTTTTTTTCCTCAATATGGCATCCCAAAACGATACGTTATTTTATAAGATATCATCATGATATCTTTCGTTTGCTCATCATCTTCATCTTTTCTCTCTGGTGTTATTTTTTTCTAGTGTTCCTTTCTTATTCTTTTTTTTTTATCTTCTTCTTTTTAGTATGTTTTTTCGTTTGTTCATTTAAGTTTGTTCATCCGTCTAAGCACAGGCCAGCCTGTGACATTTAGGCACAGGGGAATTCCTGAACGATAAACATTCGTGCGTGAAAAGAAAAAGAATACAACTGGAGGAATAATTGTAAATCTATTTATGGTTCATCTTTCGTGTGAAAAATTTCATAGAATTATATATAATTATATATTTTAATTTAATTTGATCTATAATTTTAATTTTAAATTTGAAAATAAAGAATGTTTTGTATTGTTTTTATTCATTTTTACTTTTATTATTATTATTATTATTATTATTATTACGATTTTACAATTTTATCTAAATTGTAAAATCTTTCTGTATCTTTTATTTTTTAATTTTTGCTATTTAACTTTATTATTCTCCAATTGCAATTATTAAAAATCATTATGGTATAATAATTTAATGATTTACAAAAAATTTGAAGGCTGAATATAAAAAAGACTTTATATGTTATAATAAATTGTGTCTATACTGTCAATATATCATCTAGAATATCGATAAAATTTTATCGATATTTTATTTTTTTGTTACTTTTAATAAATTAATAAATAAAATAAAACAAATATCATTTAGATAATAAAAAAATTGTATCAAAAATTATAATAATTTTATTATATATATATATATAGCTTTTTCATGTCCAGCTTTCATAATGATGATTATAAAATTTGTAACAATAATTATATAAGTTTTAAAAACTATTTATGTAATTAAATTAAGTAAATAATTATAAATATTATATCGTTATAAAGAAGAATAAGAATAAGAAAAGAAATTAGATTTTTTAGAATTTTACAAAGAATTAAATCTATAATTGCACTTTCTTTCCAATCCATTTTTCCATATATTTAAATTGTCATATCATTGATTAATAAAAAAATAATGTTCAAAATTAATTATGAAAATTCGCTTATATTGAAAAAATAGCATATTCACTAAAATTTTAACTATCACGTTTTAATGGTCGTAATGTAATTTCATCCTAAAAAACATTTTAATTGCTTATTACAATCCTTTTTCTTACTTTTATTTGGAAAAAATCTGACAAATTGTTTACGGCTCGATATTTACGTAGAATATAGAAAATCGAAAGCACTTGATAATCTAGCAACGCGTTAATTACACATATAAAATATTATAAGCATTTTGCTCGCCTTAAGCATTTAATATTTAAAACATGCTTCTTAATTTCAATACACTTCTTAAATAAGTATACTTGATTTACACGCCATTTTCTTTTAATTTATAGATTTAGAAACTTCAAAGCGTTTTCTCAACAAACTTCAAATCTTTCAACGACAACCAACGTTGAGAAATAAAAATTTCAATATTTATCAATAACATTGAATTGTTTAAAAAATATATAATATCTTTGAAAGTATTTGCACTACTTTCAAATATTGTTGAAAAATGATAAACAAATTGGTCGATCAGTTTTTTATATATTTTCTCTGACATGTGTATAAATTTTAAATTTTATCATATTTTAAAGCTTTACTATTTAAAAATTAGTAATAATTTTGTCTTGCTCGTTGGTTGTCTTGGACGTTTTAGAAATACAAATCTCCTTTTCGAATATGTCTCATTTAATATTATTATCACAAAGAAATATCGAAATCTAATATCGCAAAATAACGCTACGTGCTCTTCAATTTTTCCATCGTCACAACGCTTAAACAGGCACATTTTTTTCCTCGCCATTAACTTGTCAGTATTAACAGTCTCTTGTGATCATTAACACAACAATATCAAAGCAGTTAAAATGACTAACTTAATATAATTTCTATTTAATATATTTATGCCAATTTATATCTAATAACATACCTTTAAGATTATCTGTAAATATTTGGTATGAATGAATATTTAATTTTTTTTAGTTTCACTCTTTGTTTTTTTCAAAAAGATCCGTCATTTTTAACTGCTCTGTTAGAATATTTATTGTGATATTTACGCATTAATATGATTTATTGCAGAAACATTTGCAAGTTGAAATAATTAAATATCGTCTTATCATTAGTTTTTCCTCAAATCAATTTTTTAAGTTTTTTAACATTCAACTCTATGAAATACACGTATATGTATATAATATATATTATATATATTATATCAGATCAGTATAGTAATGGAATAATTAGGGTATTATCAACATATTAATATTGACTTCTTTCTGAAAATCTTCTAGCTGAAAATCTAAAAAAGCTATTGAGCATTGAAGGATTAAAGATTAGTGTAGAAGAAAAAATCGAATGCGCTGACTATATTCTAATAATGAAAAAAGTTTATCTTTAATTTTGTAAATTAAGCATGTAAAAATTATATTATTTATTTTCTGTTAAATAAATTTTTAACGTATTAATAAATAAATAATCATATAAGAATTCATTTCCAAAATTCCTTTCATCCAAAAATTTTGTTTTTATAGTAAGAAATATTTTATAGTAAGAATATATTTGATCTAAATAAAGAGCAAATTATTTTAAAAAAATAAAATTAAAATGAAAAGAATAATTTTTAATCGATTTTGTAGCCGATAAAAATAATGAAATCGGTATATCTGTTTAAATAAAATAGTAATATATCTGTAATAACTAATAATTAATTAATAATTAATCTATAATAACAGAAAACAATTATTTCATTGTTAAAAATGATAGAACAGCATAAAAAAATATTAACCCTGTATTTCATTATATTTCAAACCTCATATTTGTATTTATAAAGGCATTATATGAATGAATCACAGTGTAAAATTCACAAAAAATGCAAATTTTTTTATAATTCCATACATGAAGGATTTAACAACACTGCAGATTCTGCTAAATTTTCATATAACATCAATCACTCGATAATTATGATTATAGGTTATAAGATAACGATGAAAGTTCGATTGGAAATGACATTGAACAATCGATATAATCGATTAATTAAGAAAGTGAAATCGATAAATTGCGCGTTTCTAATTGAAATCAGAGTAATCACTGAATTTACCACTTAAGATGATGTCGTTGTTTAAAAATCATATGCAAATGTCTAATTTTGTATTCTAATTTGATATAGTTTTTTTATTTTATAGTTTGAAAATTATAATTTTCCATTCGGCAAGTTGAATCAATTTTTATTAAATTTTTATTTAAGTTGGCAATAATAAATGATATAAATTAAAAGATGAAATTTATTTTTCTGTTTGAATATAATCAAATATTTTACATTAGTAAAAAGCAAACGATGTCATTTTTTTTTTTTTTAATTATAATTTATTAGTAAGTTAAATTTTCTTTTATAGTATTCATAAAATATTCTAAACTTTAAGCTAATATTTTTATTTAGATATACCCTGTATAATTATGTATTATTTTATAATATTTTCAAATTAACGTATCAAAAAATAATAAGAATTCTCAATTTTCTTGAATCTACTTTTTTAATATAAGTAATATATATATATATATTATTATTGAATGTAATTAACTATGGAAATGTAGATTAAACTAGAACTATATAAATGTAATATAAAATTTTCTCTTTTGACTAATTTTTTTAAAGCTGCATATATAGTTTAAGTTTTCAAATGAACAGTTTTGAAATATTCAATATCAATTCAATCCAACTATTGGATTAAATATTCAATTATTATTTGTGACTATTTATGAAAGATTATTTTTTATACATAAATCTAATTAATTTGACAATTAAAAATGGCAGTAATCGCTTTAATCGTCATATGACACAATAATTCATTCGAATTCAATGATTACTCTGAATAATTATTATTTTTCGTTGCATTACATTACACCCTAATACTCCTTAAATAATTCTATACGATCGAACAAGCTGAGCCGTTTTGTTTCTTCCTTTTTTTTTTTTTTATAAAAATCCCACGTTAAAATATTTGAATTTAAAAAAAAAGAAAATGATATTAAAAAAAATTACAAAGAAAATACAGCCAATTAGTTTAATCTCATAATAACAGTAACAATAATAAAATAATAATAATAATAGTAATAATAATAGTATAGTAATAGTAATAGTAATAATAATAATAACTCTGAAATATAAATTTCAATGAGGAAATTAAATATAAAAGATGATGGAAAATAAAACGTCTAATTTCATTTCAAAATATTTATAAGTATATCCAAATACATTAAAAAATTAATTGTTATCCTTATAAACAAAATGTTATTCTTAATTAAAAAGATATGTAATAAGAGATGCACGAAAACATTAAATATTTTTTATATTCAAATTATTTGTAATCTTTTCTATATCTAATTTCCTCCATTTTTGTTGAATTTTTATGTATGTACTATAATATAAGTGTCTCATACAAAGACACTACCCTTGTTTATCGATATACCAAATTATTAATGTTACAGAGGAATTTGTACATAAGGTTACATCATACTTTCGTTAATCAAGATAATAAGAAATAAATTTTTAGATAATTAAATTCAATCAATTTCAAATATATTAATTGTGCGAGAAATTGTAAATTATAATACGTGGTCTTCGTACCTTTGTTGTCGCAAATCGAATAAAGTCACGCAATAAAACTGACATACGACACAGAGTTGGGCACGGTTTCTACGAATATTCATTTTAATTACTTATAAATCAGTCATAAGAAATTAATATATCAGTCAAATAGTACATATCAAATAGTACAACAAGAACATAAAATTCTTCACATTACCCTTAAAAAATGCTTATCTAACGTTTTTTTTTATAAAACGAAATAAAAGATAGTTCAATTATAATATCAAATATCCTAAAACATGAACACAAAATAAATTTCAAAATCAAAAAAGCAAACACTTCTATTTTTGTAATTTTTTCATTTTTAATAGCCTATCATAAAATTATTTGATCAACTATTCCATTAAAACATATTCTATAATAACATTCGAAGAAATAGATAAATTCAAAATCAATTTCTTAGTAATCAACCAAAAATATTGCCCAACCCTTCCGCAATTAGGAAAAGCACAATCGCTCGACTCAGCAGCAACTACGGCGAATCATAAATTTATTACACGATATCTGGAACGGCCTACAATCGAAAACAGTCTTTTAAATCGAAATCACATTCAAAAACGGTCCTCAATCGAAAAGCGGCGGTTGTCTTTAATCGAAACAGTCTCTGAACCATTAATTCTCGTATTTGTAACAAATAAATTACTGATAAATTCCTTTTCGTGATATCGTAAGAATAATTTATTCAATTACGATTCCATTTTTTCCAATAGTCTGTGTCGATTTTCTAAAACTTGTACTTGCACGAGAGGATCACGTTGAATCAGAAGAAAACTTATTGTCGCATAAATTTGGCACAGAATCTAGTAATGCCGCTGCATATGTATTATATGCTTCGAAAAATCATCGAATCATAGGCCATCCAGTGTGATGCTATTAAATATCGCCCTTTAAAGCTTCCGTATTAATCCATTGTTAAACGATTTATATTATATCACGATTCGCCAGCGTGTGTGCTTCAAATGCCGGTAAAAAACAGAAACGCTTTTTTTCACAATCGTTATATGGTTCATTATTTTTGCACGCTCGCTTGCAAGTTTACGCTATTTACACCAACAGTCATTAGACTCGAGTAAATTTATACTCAATGTCTTTTTAAAGAAAGAAGAAGTAGAGCAATAATTTCTTTTTTCCTTTCTTCGGAAAACACGTATATTCATAGTGGAAGAAATGTAAATGCGGTTGTTATACATTTGATCAACAAGTAATGATACAAATATAATATACTAATATTCTAAGTACTTTTATATCTCGTGAGAATTCAAAAAGTTCATAATATACATCTATATATGGACTTAAGTAAGATTTTATGATTTGCAAATTTTTCAGAATTTCTGCAAAATTCTTCACATCGACATTTATCGCTATAATTTCTTCCACCATAAATATCGATACAAACGTATCTCTTCTCCAAACGAAAGAGCTTCATTGGTAGAATATCATAATAATTTTAAAATAATCACGGCCCGCTTATCGCTAATCCAATCGTTTATTTGATATTAACATTTAGAAATTGTTATTTCATCATTATCGCTGGGAAAATGTTTGATATAATGCACAGTTAAACGATTTTAGTTGTTTTTTTATCTTCAGTCTATGATTATTATTCCCATTTTTCATTGATTTCCATAGAGTCCTTAACGCCTTTAATTATTTAAGAATCTTGTGTTTCCTAAAAACATATATTCCAAAATTAAATACATATATACATATATATGTATACATATATACATGTCTGTTTTATGTAAATAATAATAAATAATATCTAAATAATAAAAACAGTGAAATAATATGAAAAAAACTAAAGAAAATATTTTTAAAAGTTATTTGATATAATATACATTCATAGTTTTTTTATAGATTTTTTATAGATTATGGATCATATGAAATGATATTCATTTCTTTAAATGGAAATATATAATTTTTAATGCAATCCATACAGTTTGTTATTTCTTACAAAAAAATATTGAACTATTTGTATTATAAAATCATTAATTTAAGACATATAATTTGAAATTTATAAAACTTATTGTAAGAAAAACAAATAATACATGCACTTTGTTTTTCATATCTTAAAAATTTTAAATTAAAATATCTCCAAAATAAAAATTTTTCGATATAAATATTTTTTTATAGAAAGTAACATGCTATATTAATTAATGCAATAAAAATTATATATCTATTAAATTGAAATTGATTTTCATGTTATCTTATATGCTAATCTATAGAAAAACTACTACTGTGTAATATATCTCTTTATATTAAATAACTAGTACAAAAATACTTTTTTTCACATTTTTTTCTTAAAAAATATTTTATTATATTTATATAAAACAGACCTATATATATATATATATACAAACATTTCTATTTTATAATATATATATATAATATCAAAATATTTTTTTAGTTTTTATAACTATATAGACTGCGACATTTTTTTGGTCCAAGCAAGACTTAAATGATCTTATATATGTATAAAGAAAGGCATGCAACATGGTCACTTTAAATAACTGATAAATTATTCCTTGTATGAGAAAATATTTCAAATTTATACAAAAATTCTAGTGTAAAAGGGCAACTAATTTAACGTTATTAATTTTTAATATTTTTTTTAAAATAGAAATTTAAAAGATATATGAAGATCAATTTTTTTTTAATCAAAATCATATATTTTTTAATACATTATATTACTTTTTATTATACTAAATTTTAATTTTTATTCATAATTTCATTTAATAATTTAGATAATATTTTAACTAATCATGTAATAAAATTAATTGTACTATGAAAAAAAAAATATGAATAGAAAAATTGCTTCACATGCTATTAATTTTTCATATGATAAATTTATTATTTATTTTTATAAAATTGAAGATAAAATATTTTTTATAATAACAATTATTTACACTAAATAATAAGAAATTTATTAAAGTCATTGTATTAAAAATATAAATTTTAAGTAAAAAAACAGATTTTCAAATTTCCTTTTCACATTCATTCTGCAAAAAAATTAATAAATTGTGTTCCCTTTTGTATTACTAAATTATTTAATAAAATATTTTTTCATACAATAAATAATTTATAAATTGAATTATGTATAAAAATTATTAAGTTAAAATAAATTATCAGTTCTAATAATAAATTTCATAAGAACTTTTTTTTTATATATTCGTTTAATTTTTTACAAAGATTAAATAATATATTTATTATATTGGATATTTTTTATTAAATTAACAAATTATTTTATAACAAATATTTTTCTATTATTTATAGATTTTAAATAAAATGTACATCCCAACTCTCAAAATATCTTTATTTCAAAGTTTCAATAAATTTTTACACTATAAAACTTTATTCCCACTTGTTCCAAAACTCGCTATATCCAATATAGTTTAAAAATGACTCAAATAATAATTTTCTATTTTTCAAAATGATTTGATTCAATCCAACCGAAAATATTAATTATAATTATTGCATTAAGATATGTTGTAAAATGTAGACATAACTTCGCAAAAAAATTTAAAATACAAAAATAATAATAAATAAAAATATTTTAATTTCATATTTAAATCATACTGTATATTGTTTAGAAAATTATTAAAAACAATTATTGTATAACATTTATGAATTGTTGTTATACATTAATAATATTATACATGAGATATTTACTATGAAGTCAATATTTTAAAATACACTGTATTACTTAATAAATACTGTATTACTTACAATTAAATGTGTAAAAAATAAATATTTGAAGTTATATCTAACATTTTACATATTATAAATAATAATATAAAAGAAAATGAATAATACTTATACGAGTAAAATACAAAAACAAAAAAAATTAAATTGTATATATCTATATAAATGAATATTTCAAAAGGAAAAAATATCAAAATTCAAATGGAACATAAATGGAAAGAAATGAAAAATAAAGGAAAGAAATAAATAAGGACAATATACAAAAAATATTCTGTATAATATAATTACACGTGTTTTAAGTGAAAAACAACAAATGTTTATCTTTTTTTTTAATTTTTTTTCTTTTTTATTTTTTTTGTTTGTTTCTCAATATTTTCATCTAAGCACGTAAAAATTGAATGTGATACAACTGTTTCTGGAAATTAATTCCTTAAAACATTCTATTATGACGTGTAAAAATATTAAGATTGGCATCGACATATAATTTATAATCTTATGATTTTAAATGCTTATACAAATCAGACAATCAAATAGTATCAATATTCTTTCAATTTTCATCAATTTTATTCAATCAATTTTCAATTAATTTTTAAGAGGAATGATAAATAATTTGTCATTTGAAAGAGATCAATTTAAAATTAAACTGCTTGTCATTTGAAAATACAATTGTCATTACAAGAAGATCATATTAATTAATGATATAGAAAAAGCATTAGAAAATTTAAAAAAAATATTAGAAAAAAATATGAAAAATAAATTTATAGCAATTTACATTAAAAAAAAAAGAGGAAAAAAAAAATCTATATATAATATAAATATAAATATAAATATAATAATCATATATTATATTATATTATATTATATTATATTTTATAATTAAAAATAAAGGAACATTATCAAATTTATTTAATTTCCGAAAATACAAAAACTTATGTTATAAAATATTTCATACTATCTTAAACTTAATGAAAATCGAAAGAACACGATCAAAATATTTATTAATATACTTTATGCTTTTGTACTTACGTACAAAGATATATATATATATATATATATAGTATGTATTATGTCATAAATATACTTATATTATACAATTTATGTCGGGCCTAATTTTTCATTCTTCAGAAATAAAAGAGAAAATAAGAAACAAAATCTAAAAAAAGTCATTTATGATTAGAATGAAAAAGAACGAATTCAACGATTCACGGACGCGCGACAGGCCTTTGTTTAAATACCAATATAAACAATTCATTCCTTAGAAACTCTCTCGTCACACACCTTATTCAGATAAAGTTCAGCTTGCTGATGTCACTGAAGACACCGTAAACGGCGTCACTTGATAGAGAAAACACCTGTTGCATACCCTGACAGGCTTCGTATGCCCATAACGAGGGAGGGGAACGTTATTACTGCTGCAACGGCCGCAGAACACCTTGCCGCAATTTCTGCAATGATGTCTGCGTCTTACCACCGTGAATCCAGCTTGACATGCCATGCAACGGGGCGCATCATTGTCCGGGATCCAAGCTGGTGCTCTTTCTACACATTCCTCGCCACGTTCCGTTATGGAGGATGCTACAAAAAAAAAATTAAAATTGTATTTGAAAAAATATCAGATTTTGATGTCGCATAATTGAATTTTTATAATTGAATGATGTCTTTTAGACATAAATTAAGTGGCAGAAATTGAATAATAATAAAAAGCTTAGTTTTCTTTCAATCCAAGCATTTAAAGAAATTTAAATGTTCACATTTCGATGTGACATTATTTATATGATTAGATTCAAAAGGATTTTGTTTTAATAAGGATTTTCTTTTAAGCGATTCCTAAGTATCTATAAAGGGAATCTTGAGCAAATGAATATTTTATATATAATTTGTAAAAAATTGAATTTATGTAAAAGGAAGCAGTTCATACTTGTGTTATGGTCAGTTGTAGTAGTTTCTTCCAAATCATCCTCATATTCTTGTAACAAATCTTGTCGATCATGATTGGTAGCTGTATCGTTTATCGGACTTACAGGATTTTCAGATACTGAACTTTCATCCTTCATTTCACCATCTTCCACAGTTTGACTACTATTCATAAGGAACACACATTTTAAAATATTACGTAGATCTGATGCAAAATTCGTCTGTAACTGGTCTGCCACACCAGCTATACAAACAAATAAACGGTGGACAAGATCCTCAGACGATCTGAAGAGAAGAAGAAAAATTATTAATCAAATAATGTAGAATATAAGAGGAAATATATATATATATATATATAATAAATTTAAGAAAACTAATGTAAGTTTTGTATAAACAAAATAAAATATTTAATAATTTTCTAAAACTATAACAATTATTAATGATAATTATATCAACTTTAAAATAAATGTAAGTACAAATGACGCATAATTTTCTTCCGATTCTAAACAATAATTTTTAATTAATAATTTTAAAAAATCCAATATTCAAAAATTTCCAAAGATTACCATATAATAAAGAATACACAAAGGATTAAGAAATTTACCGAAATTTTGCTCGAATCTTATAATTATTTGCAATCTCAGCAGCTTGCATTGCCAATGCTATTTCCTCGTCATCCTGGCAATCACTTTGAAATTCACTAGTCTCCGAGCTTGAATCACAACAACTCGAACAGCTCGAACTAGATCCAACATCTGGTTTATGAGCCAACATATGATCCGAATTGATCGACTGTGTTCCTTGAACCGTAGATGCGTTCATCAGTCTCACGGTTCGTGTAGCTCTTTGCGTGTTATTGTCTTTTTGCACATATGATACAGGTTGCGTCAGGATAGGTGAGCTCGGCTCGTTCGACAAACCGCTTTTATCCGTTCTTGGTCCCAAACCATCATTCATTAATTCATTAGGACTTCTGTTTCCCAATTTCCTCTTAGTCTGTTCCAATCTAGGATTAGTTCTTTCATATTTATCCCTTTTATCATAGTCTCTTCTTTTCATTCTAATAATTTGTTCTGACCTGGATCGTCTATAATCTAAAAGTTTTCTATTTTGCGGCGATAAATTTCGCTGAGGTCTAGAGATTATACTACATTTCCTCTGTCCGGATCCAGGTGTGCTACGAGTTTCAAAGTGTTGTAATCTTGGACTGGCGTGAGGGCTATGGCTTCCAAAGTTAGGCATTTTTCTAGTGTTCTGACTGGGATGCAGGCTAGCCCCATAACTGATCAATCTAGGATTTAAGCAACGATCTGTCGAGTTTGATCTGGAACGTTCCGTGCTTGCCGATGATCGTAAATTTTGGAAATTTTGTATCCTACTCTCTTGTATTCCTTGATGAAGTTTTTGTCCATTTCTTTCGTGCTTGCGTTGATGCCGTCGTTTTTGTTTCTCGTCCTTCATCTTTCTCGACGTCGTGATCTTATCCTGAGCGTATTGCTCGATCTTTGTACCAATTTTTTCGATGTTCTGCGACGTAGAGGGGCAGTTCTCGCATTTCAAATCACTCCAGAATTCTTTTCTCGAAGTAGACGCATCGATACTTAAATTCAAGTTCTCCCAATTCTCGGAATAGTTGATCTGAAAACTGGATTGGTTTGAGTCACAAACAGAAATATGCCCATTCCCGTACGCGACTCCAACGAATTCCTCATTTGTACCATCAAAATTCGACGATATTCGTGGAATGTTCTTCGCGACCTCCGTGTTGGCCGCGTGCAGATTATGCACCTCGATCGAATGGTCCAATGATGCAACCGTTTTCACGCTCCTTAAACTACAAACGCAAGAGTTTTCCGATATCGAACTCTTTCTTTTCGGTGAATTCAAATTAGAACAAGAATAGCTAGTGTTCTCTTGCGTATCTTCGTCGCCCAAGCCCTGTTCGTCCTGTTGAATCTCATTGGCGAATGTCTTCTTCTCTTCAGGACTTTTATCGTATAAACTGGTATTCTCCGACGAGATCACTGTGCAAATTCCCGAATCAGTCTGCTCAGAAATTTCGTTCTGACATTCTCCATCTAACAATAGATTCGACAACGTTTTATTCGCCTCAGAGATGAGCTTTTTCGAATCCAAATCGGGCAAAGAGTTTTGTATGTGGACCGTCTCACCAGTTACGTTGTTCTCGTGTGAAACCTGATTCAGTAGATACTGAGTTTGAGGAATTTCGATGTTATCCGAGCTACCTAATATCTCGGTGATGTCCGAGGTGATGAATTCTTCTTGCTGTTTGTGCAATTGTTCGCCGCATCTATTCTCGTTTACATTCGAAATACTGCTCTCCGGAACGACTTGTTCCGTGACGGAATTCACTATGGAAACAGGAGCCGCGTTACATTCTATTCTTCTCGTGCAAGGATTATCATCGCAAGATAACCGACTATTCGTGTTCGATGAACTAGAAGGTTTTTTAACATGATACTGCACTTCGTCACCAACACTATCACGTTCACTGGATGTCCTCGCGCTACTATTACACCTTACAGTCTCCTCGTACCCGTTCACGGATATGTTTAACCGATTAGGCCCAGTTTCCACGATCATTTCGCGGCTCTCCTCCTCCTGATCGCTATTCCTCTCCACCAACCGATTCTCCTTTTCTAATATTTGAACCACATCGTCCGCCACCTCATCCATGTTGTTCCCTGTATTCTTCGTCACAGTGTAAAAATCTACGATGAAGTCTTTGCAGTTCGGGTAACCGGTATAAAAATTGTGAACAAATTCCTCCAGATCGGGGATATCCTGGCACGTGGACGATTTCGATGATTGCGTGATAGGGCCTGACGGCTCCTCGTTCGAGCAAAGCAGTTTCTCCAGCATGTAGAGCTCGCGATTGTTCAACGTCCATAGAAGCTCTCTTATTTTTAGAAGAAGCGACTGGAACGAAAAAAGAAATATTTGTTTATACTTTTGAATGATTTTTTGTTTTATTTTTTAATAAAATTCTTATTTTTATTTCGTATTCATTTTCTTCTTTTTTTTTTTTTTTTTGAAATTCAATCCATTTAAAATATTTTTTTGTTGGTTTTTGAATGGATATTTGTATGTAATGATCTTGAATTTCTTTCTGAATGAGAAACAAAAAAAAAACTAGTATTATTATATGTGCATATAAATTAAAAAATAAACTTATCTTTATATTCTATTCTTGTGCTGCTTCTTGTGCATTCATTTATAATTTAATCACGAATCTAGAAGTTACTAAAATTATTTTAAAGATAGAAACCAGAATTTCTCATTATTATAAAAGTAGATTGAATTTTTAAATTATATATTCTTTAAAATATTCTTAAAACTTCTGAAATTTAGTTTATATTTAACGTTGAATTTCATCAAATTACCATTTAATCTTTTACCAATACAGACATTACACAAAACTTAAAATTAGTCTTCTTTTTAAATTTATACTTTAAAACTTTGGAACACTGTTGCAAAGTAATTTTTTATTTCCATTTCTTTAATACTAGAACTACTTATAAAAGATTGTTATTTTATTAAAAGAAATTAACATCAACTTTTATTAAAATGTATATATGATTATATAATACTATTTTATTTTCATTAGAATAAATTTATTTTTATTGTAGTGACTTCAATAATCATCTATCTATAGCATATTTGGCGGGTTGACAGTGAGTTGACAGTGATGTAAATCAATTTTTTTAGGATTTAAATTTATCATATATTTTGAGTCTTAAGAGCATTATTTGTTTAATTATATTATTAAATATTAAATAATTAAATGATATTAATTAATTATAAAATTTAATTTTAATGTTAAAGGTTAATTTCATAATATCAAAAGTATTGAATTTCTCATAATTATTAGATTATTGCAATTGAAATGATCAAATCTTACAATTAGTATGAGTTTTAATACTTATACTTTATTAAAAATAATAATCAAAATTTGATTTAGCAAATTTAATCTTGTCCATTGAAAAATAAGATTAAAATCACTATACTTATGATTTGATTAAATAATTTGATTAATTTGAATATTATTAATAATTATTTTTTATGATTATAATTTATCATTAAATAATTTTTTACATTAATGAAAGATATTTTTAATAAAATCTTTTTCAATCTAATTGAATCTTTTATATATATTTATGCTAAATTTTTGAAGTAAAAAACATTTGAATTTGAATATAGTTCATTGCAATATACTTCTTACTTCTTTATAATAAAATAATATTCATCTAATTTAAAATTTTAATTGATGTGCAACAAATATTATTTAACAGTACATTTAATCACTTATTTTCGAATAGTTTTACAAATTAATAAAAATGACTATTTCAACAACATAATAATATGAGACAAATATAATTTTATTACGAATATAGAACAATAATGAATTGACAAAATTATAGTTATTAATCCACAATGTAATCTTCCAGAATCATTCATAGTTGATACAAACCTTATGTGTTAACATAATAATAAGATTAACTTGTTCCAATCTTCTTCATTTCAAAAAGTAATAAAAATAAGATATACATTACGATCGATAATGTTCTAGCGTTCTCTCTAATCACAATAATTGGTATCATAATCAAATTTTTATAAAATCTGTTAATTAACAGATAAGTGACTGTTAATTATAACTCGTTTATAATACGTATTGCGTTCTTCTCCTTACCCTGAAAGGTCTAAACACTTCGCTGATGTTGTCAGGGGAATTGAGGCACAAAGGGCCTCCAGGCGGAGCCAAGAGGCCAGAAACAATCGCCAAACGTGGAATAGTAAACATCAGAGCTGGCTCGTAATTATCCACGTCGGCTTGGCTGAGCAATCCACGTTCGAGAGCTCTTTGCAGCGTCTCCGAAAATAAAACGCACACGAGTTCCTGCTGCTCGTACTCCTTCGTCGATTTCACCGGCACCATCACGCCTACGTAACATAGCTCGAAATCGGCGAACAACCGATCGAAGATTTTCAGCGACTCGATCAACTTCTCCAGGGATGGATCCAATGGATTTTGCGTTTGAGAAAGATACTGGTGAACAGAATAATTAAATAATTAGTATTTTTGGTAGAAAATACTTGTTTTTTTAAATTATATTTTTCTTAATCTTCTGTAATATCTTAATTTTTAAATAAATTTTAATTTTTTATATTTTCTTTTTATTAATTATTAATTTTTTATTAATTTTTAGTAATTTATTTTTTATATTTTCTTCATAAAAATTTTGGTTCATTGAGTTCAAATTGAGCAATTGTTATGGAATAAATGTAAACGTATAATGTAAAATTAGATTTTTAATATTATAATATTAAAAGAAATTGTAAAAAAAGAAAAATTAAACGTAATGTTTCATATTTTAAAATTTATTTGAAAAATTTGTTACAAATATATTAATAAATTAATATAGTACGTTCCATTTTTTTCAATATTTTTTATAATATGAATTTTCACGAGTTTAATTTTGAATTTAAAAATATATTCAATTCAATGAAAAAATATATCTATATAAAACAAAATGGAATGATATTTCTTTTTAATGACATTTAACATTATTGAATATATGAATTATTAAAAAATATAAATATGAATGTTATAAAATTTAAATAAATAAGATAGAACATTTAAATTTATATTTATATAAAATTTATATCTGTAGTAAATATATGAATTTTTAAATACATTTATAAATATTTTAAAATTTAAACATTTAAAAATTTTTAATTAAAAATTTTTAATTTATTAATAATTACAAATAATAAAAATATATTATTAATAATTATATATTTAATTTGAATAAACAACATAATATAACCCGTAAAAATAATTTAAAAAGCTCGATTATGACAGGCATAAAATTTACCATTAAAATGCAAATACATGAAGATTCTGAAACTAGCAGCCTCGACATCTCTTTTGTCTTGCTGGAATGATTCCATGTTCTTAACACGCGCAAAAACATGCATAAATTTTAGTGACCCAATATATTCTTTTTTTTACGATGTTATTGCTTTCTTATAAAATTTAAAAAATGTTTGCTGCCAAGAACAATATTACGTAATATTAAATATGATATATTTGTGTAAACATAAACTTGATATCGATCAAATTTATGTATGATAAAAATTTTGCCGTTCAGGCATATAATGAAAAATTACTAAATAATCAATTAATCGATATAATATTAACAAAATATAAAATAATATATTTAATATATAAATTATTTATTATTAAATAAAAATTATACTCAATAATTGTTACGTCCTCGAAAGAGTATTGCATGAAAGAGAAAGTTGTATCTACTCGATAATGCAAAGTATGCATTGAAAAGTAAATTCGAAATGTATTTCTCGTACGAAAAATTTCTTCAAACGTCTTTTTGTAATTTAAAAATTATGTAAATTAAAGAAAAAAATAATCTTCGAAATTTATTTTAAATTTAATTATTATTTCTTACTTATTGTGAAATTTTATTTTTTAAAATATATAAGAACAAAAACTCATTAATTATGAAACAATTGAAATAAAATTTTAAATATGATTTAAACCACGTAGAAATGAAAAACTCGTATATTCGTATGTAAAAATTAAAGTTAATCTAATTAAAAATAATTCATCATTAGCAATATTTAATTTCATTTCAAAAAGAATTAATTTATTTTTGAAGGAACAAACTATTTCTCAATATATATATTTACAAACTAAATTGCTTTTAGAGTGCTTAGTGATACATATTTGACGCAATCCTGTATAAGAGCATACGCAATAAATTAAGCTCAGTACATAGTCCAGAACCTAACGCAGTCCACGTTCCTCTGACTAACTTGAATATTTTAAGGTTCAATATTTGCCCCAAATGTATTTACGTAATCATTAAGATCGACAGCTAGGAAAGAAAAATAGAACACATATATGATGAAATACATATTTCAAAGACAACTATTTCATCTCACTATTGATGATATATACATACTTCAAAGAAACAACAATTTTGATAGAAATTTTTTTAGCTTGAGACATACGATAAATACAGGACTCAATAAATATTTACATTTATTAATATTAATTAATATTAATTAATATTAATATTAATTAATCATTTTACAATAAAACAAATTATCATATAGAAATATTTCAAACAAATGAAAGAACAACGAATTATATATTTTATAAAATTCTTTTTAAAGCCTTATTTAAATTAAAGCTTATCAATGTATATAAATTAATATTGTATCTGTAAATATTTATCTATCAGTAATATTTACAATGTCGAAATAAAATATTTGATGACGCATTTTTATATCAATAAAAATTCATTTCTTTAAAAAGTATAAATTCATTTCTTTTAAAAATGTACGAAGATTTTCATAGAATGTTTGTTTCATTAGACATTAAAATTAAAATTAAAAAAAAAAAAAAAATCGAATAAAAAGAAAATGCTAATTCCAACTTGACATAAGATGATAAAGCCTGGTAAGTGAACTCGAGTCTACTAACCGAGGCCAGCGTAAAAGGATTATGTGACTCATTGTTAACACTTGAACAAGCACGTCCGATAAATACCTTCAGGTTCATGTGACCTTTCAGCGCGTGTTCTCTAAGCAAATTCCTGACGATGTCCAAAGACTTCGTCAAAGCCCTCGCCAACGGCCTCATGGCTGAACTTTCAGCCTCCCTGTTCATGATCGAGGATCCGGCCGCCAAGCATTCCGCCCCGAACCACAGCTGGCCCGCAAGATTCTCCTGCATCACGTCATCAGGAAATTTCACCCTAAAGTCCCGGTTCGCCCTGCTCTCCGGTATCAGCTCGTCCATTATCTGGCTGCATATCGTCAACACCTTGTCCTGGCAATGGCGCAGTTGATTGACCAGCGTGGTGCATCTTTCCGGTTCCTGGCGGCCGTCGAACGAGTCCAACTCGCAGGCAACAGCGTTCAAAGATTCGTCGGCATAGAAAAATTGTGCGAGTAAACTCGTGTCGTCCCTCTGTGAAATATAAATGTAATTTCATTAGTACGTGTTTATTAAAAAATTATTTTTTATTATTGATTATTTATGATCAATTATTTTAACATGTAATTACAGATTGTGAAGGAATCGATCAATCAATTATTGGGCATTTAACGATAAGAAATAAATTAATCGTTTGCGAATTTTTTTTATATTTTTTTTTTATTTCTTCGAAACGAAAAGGTTGAAGCTAAAAATAACTTTGGAAGAAAAAATTAATATAATAATAATGATGTTTCTTTTCAAATAATATAAATTGTATAAAGATTAGATAAAAATGGAAAATATGAAGAGATTCGCGAATAATTAATTTGTTTCTTAATTTTTCTCAATAAACGTGTATTGAAAATTTTTTTAATATAGAGATAGATTTTGTTTACAAAAATTATCGTTGGTAATTGAAAAACCGAAAATGTATCTTGGACCAAGTTGCATGTACAGTTTAATAGACGCATAAATATAGATATGATCACTGCAATAAAGAAAAAAAGTATTTATTTGATTCGTAAAATGTGCAAAGATATTTATGGAATAAAAGATAGAAAGCAATTCTATTTTTCTGAATCCAATAAAGTTCTCCATATTCATATGATCATATCATATCATTTATCTAGATACATTCTAAATTTAAAAGATTTTTCTTTCTTACATAATTCATAATACAGATCGAGATCGAGTAACAAAGAAAATATACATTTAAAATGAAACGAGTTAGATACAATAAAAAATACGAAACACAACATGAGTATATGACACATTACATAGAATTAAAAATTAACATAGATATATCAATTCTAATATCAAACTATTAAAATACAAGCAAGCATATCACAATCAATCTTTATATATTGATTACTGATATGGAATTATGAATCAATTAGGATCATAAGATATGAATTATAATATATAAATATATAATATATAATATATAAATATAAATATATAATAAATATATAATATATAAATAGATATATTAGATAAAAAAAGGATATGATTATATATCATATTGAAACAAGTAAAACAAGTAAATTATATTAAAAGATAAAGCAAAATAATATAATTAATGAAAAAGAGAAACTTGGCAAGAATTATGATAAAATGAAAAAACAAGAAAACAAGACACAAACAAATGAATCATTATTATCTTTGAGATTTAGTATCCATCTTAATTCTAAGGATCTTAATCTCTTTAATTTCACTTTATATGAAAAACAAACTTATTTATAATATTTATAAATTTTAATATTTAACATACTATAGAAGACTATTTAGAATTAGGAATTTTATTTAAAAACTATGCAATGAATGCAAAACTATCATAAATCATGCTAAGGAATGAAAATATTAATCTGTTTTAAAATCAAGAAATCTATTACAGATCAATACAATATTTTAGAATTCAATTACTTAAATTAAAAAATTATAATCTACTACTAATTTTAAAGCAATCACGCAATTTTCTATCTCTTAATAATTACGATGCTTTTATTAATTTGTTTATTTGAATTAAAATAAAATCAACTGTTACATAATATAACATACAATTTCAAAAGTCATGAAAAGTAATTAACATTTTCAAAATATGTATATGTATCAAATATTTATATATCAAAAATTTTTTGAAAATGATTACATTATATGTCACGTAGCAAATCATCGTTTCAATATAATCGTAGAAAAATCTTCAAGATATCTTTATTGCAGTTTAATACAGCCATGGAAAGATGAATTAACAACGTAAATAAAAATGGTGACAAAAGAAGTTCATGGTTTACTCTCAAAGTTTATATGTATCCGAGTTTTATCTGCAACTTTTTTCCCTTCTTTTTTTGATTAACTTTTATATATTTGTATATGTATTCGCAAAGTCACAAAGGTCTAATCAATTTTATATCGTATGTAAAAATTCGATTATATTTAATATCGTATACAAAAATTCGATAAACGATTAAAAAACTTATCATAATGATAAACTTCCGTTTTCGTTTACTCGCAAGAATATAAATTGTCTTCGCAATGATATATATTTCTTTATGATTCTTCTTTATATGGTTATACAAGAGTTGAAATTATTATTATTATTATTATTGTTTAACAATTATATAATTATAATGTTATTAAATATTAATTATTAACAGTATTGTTATCATATATTAATTATGTAAAAAAAAATATAATAATACACTGTATGATAATGATAAATTGAAAATTATAATTTTTTAAAATATTTTATTAACTAGTTAGATTAATTAAAGTAAATAAATTTACTTTAATTTTAATTTTATAAATTTACACGTATAATAATTTACATACATATTTACATGTATAATAATTATTTATATATATATATTTAATAATTCATAAATTTATTATTATAAAAAAACTATTTAAATATGTTATTAAAACAATTATAATTAAATAATTAATTAATTTTTTATCCATAAAATTTTATGCTAAATCATATTATTAATATTTTTACTTAGTAAAAAAAAAAAGAAAAAATTATTACTTTAATTAAATACTGTTTTTGCTCTTTTTGTCATTGAAATGGACGACGTTTTCTTCCTTTTCTTCCAGTGAATATGGCACTTGGTTAAATCTAACATTCTAATCAAGACTTGTAATAAAAGGAACTTCTTGACGGAGTAATTGCCAATTACTAAACATGAGAATGTAAAAAAACTAGGAATATAAACTTTTGTACGAAAAACACAAACTATCAACTCAAAAATAGAAAACACATTTTTCTTCCTTTTAAATTAACATCCGACATTTGTGAAAAAAAAAAAAAAAAAACATTTTTATCTTTGTGCAAAAGAAAACATATAATCACGTTAACGAAACGAGATAGTTTGTAACAATGAACAACGCACAAAGAATTCTACGTAATGTAATAAAACGTAATAACGAGGGACAAATACACATAGGTATACATATAAGTATATACATATAAGTGTATTCATTTTAAAAAAAACACAATTCATTTGTTATTCTCTCGTTTTTCCCCTTCTTAAATATATTCTATCCTTTTTTTTTTGCAAACAAAAATTAATCAAATTATAACAATTTAGTCATTTTTCTTCGAAGTGAAAAACGATTGGTAATTTTCCCCAGTATATTCACCGTGAAAGAAAGAGAGAGAGAGAGAGAGAGAGAGAGAGAGAGAGAGAGAGAGAGAGAGAGAGAGAGAGAGAGAGAGAGAGATGACATTCTCAAGAGATATTTATAAATTGATACGAACCCGTGCTCGTCGGAACAATGACTCTAATTATATCTACGCGATGTAATTAAAAGAAGGAGGGAGGATCCCGTGCGCGATACTTTATGTTCCGTAAACAGTGATCTTCAATGGAAGCGCGCAATGACGACTCACTAATAATTATATCAAACAAAGTTGATTTGTTCAACGATGAAATCCATCTCACTTTCTCTCTTACTTCTTCCCCTCGCCTCTCTCTATATCTTGATAAAAGAATGAAAAAATAATTGTTTCAATTTCATGCACTATGCACTATATGAGGTATGAAATATGAAACAAAGATAATGAATTCTATCCTTCGTCGCTTAACGCTATTAATTAATTAATTAATTATACGTATAATATTTTTTCGTATTATCATAATTAAAAAAGATATTTAGATAGTGTGGTTGGTAGTTGTGAAATTCTTTATATATATATAATATTATATCTTCTTTTTTATAATTTTTTATATTTTATATATTATATATATTATTATATATTAACGTATTTCTTTTGGAGGATCAGGAAAAAAACAGAAAAAATTTTGTTATACAATATCCAAAAAAAAAAAAAAAAAAAAAAAAAAAGAAAGAAAAAATTATAACACAAAAGCATTGATTGAGATTTGGTTTTGGTTATTTATTATATTATAATTTATGTTTGCGTTAGATGAAGCGAGACAAAAGTAAAACAGTTTCATCTTTAATGCAAATTTCAATTGTTTACAGTAATAAATAAGTCTCGGTTTTCTCTGACATTTTTGTATACCAATTTTTGTACTCATTAATTATAATAGAGTTTTTAAAAATATATTGTGCAGATATATATATAACATTCTATATATAACATCCATATACAAGATATATTTATATTCTGTACATAATTATTTTTTCAAATATATTCAATATAGTAGAAATAAATATAATAATAAATATAATAGTTTTTATAAATTAATTATATTATATTAATTATATAAACATTATATTATATTCATAAAAGGTTATATCTTATGTATATGCTTAATGTAAAAATCTGAATGCAAGAAGAAAATTAAAATAATAAAAATCTTACTCCTTTGAGAAGAAAAATTACGAAGGAAAATTATTCAATAGATGATAAAAAAAAAATATTATTATTGCTTTTCACTTTTATGGTTTTTTCTTTTGAGAGATTAAATCATTAACATATATGAATTAATATTTTTATTGAACCTCTACTTTCTATATATATCAATAAATAAATATTTTCTTTATCGTTTTTTCATCTCTCTTTTACTGATTCATTAGAATTTCTGTTTTTATTAAGCTATTTGTATTCAAATGTTATTACAAGACTTTTTAAAATGAAATGTTCAATAGCACTGACGATAAAACTTTGCTGCCAAGAATAAAGTTAAACGATGTTATTGCGAAACTGAAAATATACCATATATAAAATACTTGATCCATATACATACAAATGTTTCTTATCGTCTTATCTTTTTTATTGATGACAGTTTTACAGATGTTTTCGTCGAGATTTTTAGTCTCGTAGCATTTTGTTTTCATATATCTTATTCTAAGGTAAAGATGTTTTTGTTGGAAAAACGCATAGAATAAATATTACTTAAATTTTATGAATATTTTATATTTTATATATATTATATATATATATATATATATTATATATAAGGTAAAATGCGATGAAATTTAATAAATAATAATTTAATAAAATATCATAATAAAATTAATTTTTT